GAGAGAGAGAGAGAGAGAGAGAGAGAGAGAGAGAGAGAGAGAGAGAGGAAGGGAGACAGGGGCACGAGCAGGGGGGGAGCTAAAAAAAGAGGGGCACCGCTCACTCTCAGGTAACACGTTGGCCTGCTGCCTCAGCATGTGTGTACATTTGTGTTACACGTATGTGTCTCCTCCGAGTGAAGTAGAGTAAGTTAGTACATAAGATTGGCAGTGAAACCAAACAAGATCATCGACTTGTTTTTATATTACAACTTCTCACCTCTACTCCCTGGACTTTGAGTTTCATGTGATCCTCTCTGGTGGTCTTCCCGTCTTTCCTTTTCTTCCAGCAGTAGCCATCCTTCCTGTACTTCACCTTCTTACGATTGTAGAGGATCATAGAGCCATTTTGAGGCCTGATGGAGGACAGGAGGAAGAGTTAGCCAGACAGAAAGACACACATGGTGTTGACTCATGCTAATTGTACAGAGTAAGTACAGCGGAGACTTCTGACTGACAACAATTCAACTCCATGGAAACTGACCCAATGTCCCGCAGTCGAGTTAACTGGTCCCATGCTGCCCCTCCCCTCTTATACGTAGACTCACACGCCTCCGTGTCAATAATAGTAGGGTGATTTATCAGCACAGAATTAACATCGGCCATAGACTCACATTTCATATACACTTGGTAGGATGAACATGCGTGTGCACACAAACAAACACACACAGACACACACCAGGAGCCATACATGTAGAGAGACAGAGATGCTATAGTGACGTCAGAGATGGCAGGACCTACTGCCGTGTGTTCTTTGAGCTCAATGTCAAACCTGCGGCTCAGCAATCAATCATTACACTTCTAAAACGTTAAGGACAGCTATGTGTGTGTGTTTCTGTGTGTGTCAGTGGAGGAAAAATGCTCCTCTGCCTTATCTCGTGACAACAGAAAGAGAACAGGCACGTTAATCAATAAACTAACACATACTCACAAGCCCTCCCTCTCTCACGCACAGTCATGAGCATGCATGCACACCACACACACACACACACACACACACACACACACACACACACACACACACACACACACATGTACACACCCCCTCTTCTCCATCAACCTCCAGATTTTATCCCTCTTATTATAGTATCTCTTCATTTTCTCTTTACTGCTTTTTCAGTCCCTCCATTTTCCACTCCTTTTCACTTATTCACATCTTTTCATCTTGTCTACTCCTTCTATTATCCTCCTAACCTCTGTTTCTTTTCTTGTCTCTCCACTCCTCTCCTCTCCTCTCCTCTCCTAGAATATGATGTAGACACATCTATATGGACTGAGATGATTGCAATTTACTTTGAACACTGTGTGTAGTGAAATTGAATTTACTTTGAGCTGATTTTCTTTGACACCTTAAATCTGTTCTGTTTTGGGGTGAGCCTGCCAGTTTCTTAGCTGAGTGGAGACCCCCACCCTCCGATCAAAGCCGAGTTTAGTCTCCGTCTCAAGCAGTGTGAGTCATCTCAGAGCTGCTGATTCTAATTATGTTATGGAGAAGATGGATGAGATCAGATGTGTGCACGTGCGTGTGGTTGTGTGTGAGAAATACGTGCACGTGTCTGTGTGTGCGCGTAGAGGCATGCGCACGTGGACGGTGCCCATGTTCCTTGCAAACTCTCCGATTCAAGCAGACATAAATGCTATTGATTGTAACTGGGCTGTGATGTGTGGGATATAAAAAGCTTTTCCACCGTTCCACAGTGTAGCAGAGCGAAAACAGAGAAGGCAAGGGGAGGAGAGTGGGGGGAAAAAAAGACGGCAAGATAAAGAGACGGAGTGGGCGAGTGAGTGAGTCCGGTAAAGGGAGGAGAGAAGGAGGAGTAGATGAGCAAAGTGAGAGGAGAGGGAGAGAGGAGGTAACAATCATTACTTTGGACTGTATTTCAGTGAAGGGAGAAATGAAGGTCATTGATTGTTATCTTAATATTGCCCCCCCCCCCCCCCCCACAAGTGGGCAAACGCATGCGCACATTGGCATAAAAACACACACACATGCACACACTTCCAAGTGCGCACGTAAAATGTCACTAGCTCCATTTGCTGAGCTCCTTTTCCATCTGATGGGATTAGGTGTAATCTGTCCTAATCGTGCCTCGTGTCATGTGTAAATGGGATTATATCTAACTGCTGCTCAATAACACCAATATGACTGCTGCTGCTGTTGCTGCTGGGAGGCTGAGGCTATACGGCAGCACAACCAATCAATGAGAAATCCATCCACAACATAAACTGTGCTGCTGGCCTCAGGCTGCTCCTGAGAAGAGTCCTTCAGCTCGCACAATGGGAGCGCAGAGGCATCACCTCGGGCTCTCAGCAGTGTCAGTAATCAGAAATGGGGCCATGAGGGGACCTCTTCACTTACTTTACTTTTTCTTTCTCTGTTCTTTTATGTTTTTATTTGTTTTCTTATTTTTATTTTTTTACTTTTTAACTAAAGTAAATGTCAATAATAGGAGTAAACGATTTATTAATAATTCAAATTGCCCTTTTTCTTTCTTTCTTTACCTCCTTTCTACATTCCTTCCTGAATATAACCTCTCCCAACTAAAAGAGCTACCTATGGTTCATTTGGATTGATGAATATTCATCCCTGTTCACACCACGTTTTATATAAATTTACTCCCCCTCCCTTTAAACCCCTCATCACCCTCATATGTCTGAATTATACATCACTTATCCTAATACATTTACATTCATTAATACTCCATTTCCAGCTGACTATGTGCTTTACAGTCCAGCCATGTTCTAGAGCGTTTCTCTACATGTAGAGTAGGCTGTCAGCAGGACCCTTTGGAGACAGTCGACGTACATCACTAATCTTTTAACCAAACATAGGCACACAGTCATTGAGATTAAACCAACGTGAGTCACTGGCTGATTAAGCGATACTGTGTATGTACACGTGTGTGTGTGGGTGTGTTTGTGAAAACCACTGTCTGCGCTCTCCTCACCTGGTTTTTGGCGATGTCGTCAGCCACTCATCATGCTTCTCAAAAGTGATGAGATATGCAGCAATCTCCTAGAGAGACAAAGAGAAGACAGAAAGGTTATATTGGTGTGTGCATGAGTGAGTGAGTGAGTGTGTGTGTGTGTGTGTGTGTGTCACGGGGAGATAAAACATAACAGGTATTTCCAGATGACCTGCTGATGCCCACAGAGAGTGTGTCACTATCTGATTGCCACAGTGAGGTCTGGGCGTCTGATTGGTCACAGAGCAGCCAGTCAGGAGACAGATACAGAGGACAGACCCTCAGGGCCAACAACCAATCACGCTCACCGACACACCGACGTCTCCCTCCACTGGGGAGGAAAAGCTATCTCCTAAATACACACACACACATGCCACATAAACACACACCTACACACACACACACACACACACACACACACACACACACAGACACACACTGGGGGTGCATCCATACACTAGTGCGCTGATAGGAAAAGTTTTCTTGTACTTTGCCGTTTCACAGTTTCCTGTCAGATAAAGCCTGCTCCTAACTTGATTCTTAATTCCTCCGGCTCTCTTTTCATCCCATCAGCTCTCCTCTCCTCTCCACACTATTTATATTCTTCTTCCACACTCACATGAATCCAATAAGAAAAAAAAGAAAGTTCAAATCATACAGGTGCATTCTACCGACAGTGAGGCAAAACAAAACGTCCATACACACAGACAGAGACACAAAGCCAAAAGAAATTATTGTTTGCATCTCCTGCTTTCTTTTTTAACGGCGCCTTTTCCCTTTGCTAGGTGAACTCTTGCACCCTTGGCTTCCTCCTTGAAATAACATTCTCTCGCTCCCTGTCTCTGACTCCCATCTCACCCACTTGTTGTGAAAGTCTATGAAATGTAAATTGTCCTCTTAAGGCAATCAGTGTTTGAAATGTGGCACAAAGCAATAGCGAAGAAGACATCAACACTCCAAGCACTCCTTCATCTGCCCTCTCAGATCAACTCTCCAGACCTCCTCT